ACCATAGAGCCCATCTCAAATGAGTGATTCTCTTCTCACCCTATGACAATGTATGCATTTTTCTGCAGGACTCATTTAATGATGAAGAGGAGCAGAAACCTTGATCAGTTCCAAGTCCTGGTACCTGCTGACGCTGGTAACACAGCATAGAATGGAAAACAAACCTGCAATGTTCTGATCTGTATGCATTCTGTGAAGTGCTTTGAGACGTCTCAAAGTCATGATAAGTGCTATATCAAATTCAAGGATTATTATTATTCTTCAGTGTTCCACCAGGGGATGCATTTACTCTGTAAATCACGAATGACTGTGAATCCAGAATGCAGTAGAGCAATGTCTTTGAGGACAAACTAAATATTTTTGTTTGGTGCCGCCCTATCTGTCAGCATGGGGTAAAAATTGTGACAATTATCACATCACATATTGCAATTTTACACCACGTTAATTATCACATCAGGAACATTTCACTGCTGGAGATGTCCCATTCGATGTCCGTTGAAGATGAGCCCTTTTTCCCCGAACCCATTCAGTTAAATGGTTGCATCTAACAACAACAAATTACATTTGTTTTGCACCTTTCATGTCAGGAGGACGTCCCAAGGAGCAGGACAGTCAGGGATCTGCACCCGAGATGGTGGTTGAGATCAGGGGGGGTGGAGAGGTAGGAGGGTGACCAAAGGCACGGTCGAAGAGGAGGGTCTTGAGACAGATCTTAAAGGAAGCAAGGGAGGGGGAGAGGCGGAGGGACTGTGGATGGAGTTCCAGAGAGTGGAGGCAGATAGGCTGAAGGCCCTCCCGCCAATCCAAAACTGCTTGCTGTAGCTGCTGAGCCAGCTGATGGCGCTTTTGAACCTGCTGCCATACAGAACCCAACATTTCGGTGCTGGTTCATGGAATACTGGCTTAACTCAGCTTTAAACATTTATTTCTGGATGTCATTCAGCTAAGAATGTGAGGCAAAGTCCTGTGCTTCTGACCATACCCCAGGTCATACAAAACTCTTACTTGTCATCATCTCCTCTTATTGAGGTGTGCGGGTGGGGGATTAGATCTGATGATTTTAATCACTTTATAACCCGCTCAAGTCTGGTCGCACACACTCCACATAACATCTAGCACTGTGACCCAGGGCTGCCGAGCTCTCAGGGTTGCTAATTGGGCTCATGAATGAAGGCAAAACGCAAAATACTGAAGATGCTGGAAATCTGAAACAAAAACAGAAGTCACTGGGAACACTCAGCAGGTCAGGCAGCATTTATGGAGGAAGAAAAGTGAGTCAATGTTTCGGGTCTATGACCCTTCATTAGAACTGGGGCATATTGGGAGGGAGAGGCTTTTAAGGGCTAACAGAGAGGGAGGAGGCAGGGCAAGAAGAAAAAGCAGAAAATAGGGTAGAGGACAGGGGATAGAAGCTGCCTGTCCTGCTGAGTGTTCCCAGCGACTTCTGTTTTTGTTTCCTGAATAAAGCAGCATGGCATGCGGCGAAGTCTTGGATCTGGCTGATGGCAAGCTGCTGTGCCTGGTCTTTGTTGAAGAGGGCACATCAGTTGTCCGTTCAATGTGTCATGCTCTGAAGCTCTTTGTTTATCTTCCCAACCAGATATAGTCACTAATCATGGTCTTCGGGCAGCCTGCCACACAAATCCACATACCACAACTAGGGTATTCTCCAATTGTATGTGGTCTTATGTTGAAATCTCAAATGTGATTATCTGAAGTTTCAGTGTGCCATGGCAGCACTGCAACTGTCAACGGATGCTGTCCTTTGGATGAAGTCCATCTGTTTGGGTGGACAGTAAAGATCACACGACACTATTCGAAAAGAGAAGAGAGCTTCTCCTAGTTCCCTGGACAACAATACTCCAGATTAACAACAGCGACTTTCATTTATAGAGAATGTCCTCCACACACAATAATGTTTTCAACAGCTTCATAAAGACATCAAAAAGTGGGGAGGGAGGAGGAAAGTGAGTGGAGACATAGTTGAAAAGGTAGGCTGTTAGACAGGTTTTGAAGATAGATAGAGAAGGGGGTGAGATGTAGGGGTAGCGCAAGGGAGTTCTAGGGTGGGGCACAGTTGAGTCCATTCATCAATTGGGTTTTGGGGGACTTTATATTGCACGAAAGCTGCTGTTTGTCTCCAAAATCAGTCACTTCACTTGGAATTTAGAAAGCATTTTGTGATATTTTGCCATTAAAGGCTCTATAAACATATTACTTTCTACCCATTTCCTGATCAGCCTTTCCTGTAGATCAGACTTTTCCCATTTACGTTTTACTGTGTATTTTCCTGCATGATATGAAAGTGTAAACACATCAACCAAAGCAGTACAGAAACAATGAAACAGTTTCCATACTTTCCTTTCTGTGTTTTCATTCAATGATTTAATCTAGGGTTTCAGGCATTCCTTTACGTGAAAGGCACTACATAAATGAAAGTTGCTGTTTACAGGAAGGTAGAAATTCCACCTTGTTCCAATCTTCACTATTTAAGTGTAAAATGGTAGACTTTCCTTTGAAAAGAGAAGGAAGTTTCTCCTGATGTACTGGATAATAATCCCCTAAATAAAATTGGCTATTAATTTGATGGCTGTTTGTGGCACACTGCTGTGCATAAATGAACTGCTGTATTCATCAACAACAACAACAACTTGCATTTTCAAAGGGCCCTTCATACGGGGTAGCGTCCCAGAGCGCTATTCACCTACAAAATACATTGTCACTGCACTTTACAATATATTTGGTGAAATGCTTTGCGACGTTCTCCCGGCAAGCGCTACATCAAACACAAGGATTGTTTTTATTGTATTTTCTTAGCATTTCAGAGCATGCAGAATTTAGCATTTTTTAAAAAAAAATGAAGTCTTAATATAAATTTCTGTGATTCTCAATAACTGGCTTCAAAACTAAAAGTGATTGAAGAATTAGCTAAATTCTGCATACTCTGAAACAAAGAACCAGATGGAATTTCAACCTCCTTTTTTCTAAGTTTTTAAGTTTCCCCAGATTGCTTCTCTCTTTTGAGTGGCCCTTCTGTATTCTCTTATAACATTGTTCTTCTTTGCTGGGTTTTATTTGTTCTTCATAACTCTATCTCTGTTTCTTTTATCTTGTGTTTCTTACTCTTCTGCTGTTTCTCCTCACTGATTTCTCTCACTCTCCCTCCACTCTACTTCTTATCTTCCTTTTAACTATACCAGCTAAATTCACTAAATACATTTAGCTCAAGACTATCAGTTGTTTTCGAGTTATAATTCAGAAATCTTTACCCATTAGATTGCAGGATGATCCACAGAATGTTTTTGTTAACTACTGTGACCTTCAAGCAATAGTTTACTGCTATAATAATAATCCTTGTAATTGATATAGCACTTTTTACACTGTTGAGATGTCTCAAAGCTCTTCGCAGGATATACTGAAAAGTAGTTTGTGACCTTACATATTTTGTGGGTGGCAAACATGGCAACAATATGCGCACATCAATGTATAGATTTCAATTGGGAATACTATTTGTGCAATGCAAAAAAGTGGCACAGTTTTGACAATTGACCTGAACACTATAACATAACTTTTTATTGACTGTATTTATGGGGTGAAAAATTCATTATTTCATAACAGATTTTGTTATGGTGTATTGCATTGTTCACCCTTACACACGGTCAGAATCTCTACCAAAGACAATAACTGATAACAGTAAATAGGAGTTAGCAGGTGTCCCTCCCACTGGAATACTATCACATACAGTACTTGCAAATCTCAATCCACTCGGGGAAGCAAAATATCTCAAACGGTTTGATTGAAAATTCTGTGGTTTATGCCCATGTAATAAAAGGGAATTATGGAAAACCAGGTTATGTCTTTGTTTTCCTCCCCAGTAATTGTCTCTTCTGCTGAAGGCAGGAACCCATATTGGCGTAGAGTGCAGTGAGTGCTGACTGTCCTCCAGTACTGTACCGAATGGCCATTCATTATTTGCAAAACTGAACAGCGAATGGCAACAGGCTTTTTGCGACCATGGAGTGGAGGGAGTGGTAGGAAGCTCACACTGAGCCTGATCTTGGCATTCTTTGATGATCACACATGCCCCGCTTAACAGCAGGACTCACTGGATATTGGGACGCCTTGGGACGTCCTCCCGACGTGAAAGGCGCTCTATAAATGGAATCTTGTTGTCGTTGTTGTTGGATCAGGAATGGGAACCCTGGCTGATTCTCCTGGTTTCACCCCCTCTGGCTCTGAGACAAACTGAAGCATCCCATGACCAGCTGGCCTCAGAGAATCACCCCTTGAATGTCTCAACCCCCTACTTTTTACATTGGTGATCAGTAACCATCACGATAGCCCTTCACATTATTCATTATAATCATTCCCACTCTAAGAAAATAAGCATCTCGAACACACCAGGCTTTAATGTAAGTTTAGAAGATGAAATCACTGGTTCAAACTGCATGTAACCAATCAAGAAAATAAATGTTTCTGGGTTAATTCGAAAATGTCTCCCATATTCTTTTCTGTGTCCAGTTTTGTATTAAATTCATGTCTTGTGAGGAGCTGTTACCTGCTGCCCAGGAGTATTGCAATGCACATTTTTTTTTCCTCCAGTGAAATCATTATTTTACAATAGCAAGTAGCAGATCATTCAAAGTTATTGCAGAAGTCATTTGATCTGCACTCTGGATGAGTAATGGATTCCCTTTCATTACAATAACATTAGGGGCTGAATACGGAATGAGGGAGATTCCTTTGTGAGTATCCCCCTTTGGGGCATAGAAAAGAAACGAGCTGCACAGAAAGCAAAACCTGACTTTGAATGACCGACGTGAACTGCTTGGGTTTAAATGCAAAAAAAAAGAAAAAAAAAAAAAAAAAAATGTGCTCGTTGCTATTTTATGGAGATACAAATTCTGAACTGCAGGCGTTTGGTCTATACAACACAGTGAAATACAAAGCAAAAACCTGTGAAAAGCAATGCCATGGGCAGCTCACACACCCCTCCTTACCTGGGTTTAGTTGCAACGCTGTCCTGGTGAAGTAGTAAGAGATGCAACTGATCACTGCTCACGTCGCAGGTTACTGCACCTGAATGCCCAGGGACTGTGTGTGTGTGTGTGTGTGTGTGTGATGCTGACTGTGCCCCTGCACCTACCTTCACTGATCGTTGTGGTCGTCTCTCACACTGGGAGCAGACAAGAGATTTCTGCGTCAGGACTGTTGCCAGGAGACCCCAGAAGTATGTTGCAGTCAATTGCTTCTCTCTGCTCCCTGTCTGTGGTGCAGACTTCCAAGCTCGTCCTTTCTGGCACAGACTGAGGAGCACAGCACCGTTTGTCCTGGGTCCTAGCGCCGCCTGGTTGAACCAGGGCACTGGATTGAGTACCCCTGTGAGGCTTCCCACAAGAAAGACTCTTTCCAAGCGCCAAGGAGCTTTCCAAAGCACTTTGTGTCTCACTGCTAATTTCGCGGATTTTAAATTGACATCTTCATACCTTTAGTCATTTTTGCTCTAAAAACTTTACAGTTTGGCCAACCCACCAGTGTGATGAATCACACTGCTCCCGACAATGACCTCACTGACACCAGCATCTGAAATGAAATCCTTGCATTTTGTATACCGCCTTATCACATATTAGAGATGTCTTAAAGCGCTTCACAAGATTTTACTGTGAAGTGTATTGACTGCGTATCTTTTAGATGAATAGGGCAGGGGTTTTTGCACACAACAATGTCCCACAAACAGCCATGAATGAAGTGAGTGACCACATTTATTGCTATGTACAATGCATAACATACTTAATCTGAAAAGTGATGAAAATTGCAATTTTATTTTCCCCTCCCTAAATAAGAAAATGCCTCAGGAGTCACACCCCTGATTGATTTTATTTCCACTCCACACCAGGAAGCTTGCAGTTGACTATTCTCCTTGGGGGATAGGTAAGCGGGGTCTCTTTCGAGCTGGACTGGCTCCAAGGTGATATATCTGACAATGGAATGTCAGAATTGAACCAGACCTCTGTGGTGGTTTTGGTGGTCAAGTTCCTGAGCGGGTCCACAGTATTCCATGGCACTGCTAATGAAAGCACAGTGCTGTCCATGGCAAGCTATGTGGTTTTAGCTGGTAGACTCTATCAGTACCCCAAAGAACACTCTGGGTTCCCCAAGCGTTGGCTCTTGCCAACCTGCACCTAATAGTTTCCAGAATCCAGATAAGCTGGATGCATCCCTCCAGGGAGAGAGTGTGCATCTCATTCTAATAAGCATCCCTGGAATTTCCATGTGAGGTGAGATTCATGGAACTCTGTTTGGTTTGGATACTCTTAATCATGGTGATGGATTTACGCATGTGTCAGACACCTCCCTGACCCCAAAAAAATGCCTTCCCCAGCCCAGTGTTGCGGAGGCCAATTGTAAGACGATTTACTGACTATGCTGATATCAGCTATGTCAAATCTGCGATTCTGTGATCTGTCTGTGTCAGTGCCTTTACCTTCGATACATTCTTATCTGTCTCCAACCAAAGTTTAAAAGTCAGTACAGACACTTATGTTTTAGATAATTCTTTGCTCCTTTGTCTGAAAATATTTCAGGGAATTTTTACCTGTGGAATCAATAGCAAAATATGATTTGATGAGGATACTAAGATTCCGTTCAACTATGAACTTGCAGGATATGAATATGATTTAAATCACCAACAACAATTGGATAATTTATTCAACTGCAGTGATTTTCCTATTAGTTGTTTAATCTCTGAATCTGTCACATTTACCACACTCCAGATTTTAGCAATTGGCCACAGAGCTAATATAAAGATCTAATTTAATCAACGTAACTTATTGAGTTCCAACTAGTTTCAAAATAAATCGACCTGTTTCACAAACTGATCTGGAGGCGTTTTTTTTACTGTCATTTGTCCTTCATGTATGAGACACTTTTCCAATATATTGTTAACAAATATCTGTGGCAAGAAATAAATAAAATGAAAAACTACTTTTGAAACAAATAAAAAGTACAAATATAATTTTAAGATTAAATCCTTGCCAGTAAGACAGGCAGAACCCCTGCTGGAGTTATTCTGGGGCTAGCAGCCAAATATGGAGCAATATAAGAAAAGAGTCTCTGTTGCTGTTTCTATGAAGCACAGAATTCATTTCATTAATTTATTAAAACAATATTTCTGCCTTCAGTAAGCTGAGGAGCTAACAAAAACTAGCAGCATGATAAATAATTTAGATATAAGGCTCAGTCTTCACATTCTGGACTTGTGTACAAATGTGGATGAAAGTTGTGAACAAACAGAGAGACACATTTGCATTCATGCACAAAACAGCTTTTGGATCAGCCACACATGAGCATGTCCGGGGGCCAACAAATAACATGCTTGAAGTATATTAAATGGACAGAGTCTTTTGGTAATATATTTTGGCAATACTTTATTCAGAAAGAAAGGAAAACCTTTGAAATTGTACATTGTTTTTATCAAATTGTATCCAAGTGACATGGACCCATTATATAAAATTTGCAGTCACTCGATGTACTCAGTTGAGTATAGTTTTGGACATTGTATTATAGTATAATATAACAGCAACAGAAATAAATTCACTAGGGTTATATAAATGTTTTCAATTATCAAGATAGTCTTGAGATTTTTACTAGAGCTGAGAAAAACATAATTCTTGCATTTGATGTAGTATCTTATCACATTGTCTTGGTAGCCAATTTGTGCACAACAATGTCCCACAAACAACCATGAAGTGAATGGACAAATTTTATCTGGCCATAACATGAGGAAAAACATAATTCTCTTTTCAAATAGTGCCGTGGGATCTTTCACATCCATCTGAACAGGCATTTGGAATGGTTGGACAGCACATCTGATAATGTCTCAATAATTAACTGTAATGTCAGCTCACACTCCCGGGGATTTGAACCCAAAGCCTTCTAAATCAGAAACAAGAGTGCTACTAACTGATCCAGCTTGAACCCTGTATTTAAGAGGTGACCTGATAAGTCTTCAACATCATGGGACATTATTATAGAGTAAATAGTAATAGGTTATTTCCATGGACCAGAAAATTAGTTTGGCACAAATTTAAAAAAATATTCTTCCATTTGATATAATACCCATAATGGCAATACATCTCAAAGGACTTCACCAATAATTGTTAAGTTTAAGTATAATGTGTAACGACTAGTGTAATGACTATGTATTTATAGCCAAACATACATTATGTGTGACGCAAGGCTCACAAACAGCCAGGAAGTAAGCGATCAATGTAACTGGAAGACTGTTGGCCAGAACACTGGGAGAAATGCCCTTTGCAATTTGAATAATAATAATAATAATAATAATCCTTGCATTTGATATAGCGCTTTTCACGTCGGGAGGACGTCCCAAAGCGCTTCACAGAACACACTGTAAAGTGAATTGACTGTATATTTGTGGGCGAACGCGGCAGCCAATTGCGCACAGCAATGTCCCACAAACAGTCGTAGATTGAAAATGACCAATTTAATTATTGTTTTTGGTTTTTGGAGGGAATAGTATCATTGGGAATGCAAATGTCCATCCAAAAATACAGACAGAACCTGGGCTTGATATCTCATCTGAAGAATGACATCTTGGATATTGCAACCCACCTCCAGTTCTACACTGAAATATTAGCCTAGACTATGAATTTGACGTCCCAATGTTGAGCTTGAACCCACAATCTTCTAACTCAATGGATACAGTGTTTCCAAGCTGATACCAATTAACACAGATGTTGGAAAAAATCTTTATACACAACGTGGTTGGAATGTGGAATTCTCTGCCACGAAGTGTTGCTGAAGCAGAGTCCATGAATTATTTTAAAAAGGAATCAGATAGATACTTGAAAGAGAATATTATAGAGTAGGGGGATCAAGAAGACTGGAATTAGACTAGATGTATCATGTGGAAAAACACCAGCAATTGTCCTGTTTCTATGCTGTAACATTCTATGGTGGAGGTAAGCAGGGTCTCCTTGTAGCTGAACTGGCCCCAAGGTGACAAGTTTGGCAACAGAATGTCAAAACTAAGCCAACCCACTGTGGTGGAATGTGCATCCATCCCTACAATTCAAACCTGGCTCCCTTCCTCAATAGATAACATTGCTCCTCGCTCCAGCAGCACTTTCTGTCCATTCTGTTTCCTAGTATATTTATCTCAGTCTGTTCTATCCCAATTTCTTCCAATATGGATGTTCCAAGTTTGCAGATGATACTAAACTAGGAAAAGTAGTAAACAGTGAGGAGGATAGTAGCAGACTGCAAGGGAACATAGGCAGACTGGTAGATGAAGCAGATGAAGTTTAATGTGGAGAAATGCCAAGTGATGCATTTTGGGAGGAAGAATGAGGAGAGGCAATATAAGCTGATGGTACAATCTTAAAGGGGGTGAAGGAACACAGAGACCTGGGGTTCATATAAGTAAATCTTTGAAGGTGGCAGGACAGGTAGATACAGCTGTTAAAAAAGCATACGGGATACTAGGCTTTATAAATAGGGGCATAGAATACAAAAGTCAGGAAGTTATGATGAACCTTTATAAAACACTGGTTAGGCCTCAGCGAGAGACTGTGTTCAGTTCTGGGCACCACACTTTAGGAAGGATGTCAAGGCATTGGAGAGGGTGCAAAGGAGATTTACCAGGATGGTACCAGGAATGAGGGACTTCAGTTATCAGGAGAGGCTAGAAAAGCTAGGATTATTCTCCTTGGAGCAGAGAAGGTTAAGAGGAGACTTAATAGAAGTTTTCAAAATTATGAGGGGATTTGATAGGGTGAACAGGGAGAAACTATTTCCATTGGTGGGTGGGTTGGTAACCCGAGGACACTGATTTAAAATAATTGTTGAAAGAAACAGAGAAATGTTTTCACACAGTGACTTGTTCGGATCTGGAATGCATTGTCTGAAAGGGTGGTGGAAGCCGATTCGAAAACAACTTTTAAGGGAGTAGATGATTATGTGGGGAGGACAAGTTTGCAGGTCTATTGGGAGAGAGCGGGAGAATGGGATTGATTTGGGTAGCTTTTTTCAAACAGCCGGCACAGACACAATAGGCAGAATGGCCTCCTTCTGTGCTGTATAATTCTATGATTCTATATTCTCAAGAAAATAATTTTCCAATTATTTTGAAGGAGTTTGGTTGAAGATAGTACTTCAGTCTATTTGATTTTATCCTTCATAAATAACAGTTCTACTTCCTCGTGGTTGTTCCAAAATTGCCTTTCACAAACCTGAA